TTGTTAAAGTTATGTTACTTTTGTTGTGCCTTTAGTTGTAAAATCAGTATGTTGATGTGCCTTTTGTTGTGCCTTTAGTTGTTCATGTAACATTTTTATTGTGCCTTTAGTTGTTCATGTTATTTTCTTTAGATTATGCCTTTAGTTGTTCATGTTACATTGCTTAAGTTGTGCCTTTTGGTGTCAGGTCTTTTATTTTGTTGTTGTTTTCAACCTTCTTGTGATGTTGTATTCTTAAAAGATTCTCTCAAGTTAGTTATGTTACCAGACAAGTTTCATGTTCAAACACTCAAAATAACTCTCTTTCTTTTCATTTTAAGGTTACAAAAATGAATCATGAAACTATTTAAGTGAAAACAGAAAGGGACACGGATAGTCAAATTTGAAGCATTCCCACAAACTTTTCTGTAGTTGTGACTTTTATGAACATTTCATTTAACAAGACTTCAGTGATCATTTTGTTGGTGACCTGTGTTTCAAACATACATTCCCTCATCAGGACAGTTGTTTTGAAAATTCAGAACTCATGTTTTCCTCATTCCAAGAAATGGTTCAGTAATAAGGGATTCAGTTAGTGAGCTCACTGATCAGGGATAGATTCTATGGTGGAATATTTTACAGTTTTGGTTACATTTTGATATCAACACATGATAATTTGGAAGTTTTTTAATGGAACTCATTGATCAGGAGTAGATTCAGTACTGGAATATTCTAAAGATTTGTGAAGTGACATTTTAAAAACGACGAAAAAATGGTCTTTCAGTTGTATACCTTTTGTTTCAAAGTGCACTTGATCAATCATAACCTATGACAGCAAGTGACTGTGTCAAGAGGAAAATTCTTGTGAACCCACCCAAATCTCGAGGAAAAATCTACAACTTAGAACATATGTGTGAACTCAGTAAAACTGATAAAAAAAATTAATTGAAAACGTGTTGTACAGTAATAGATCACTTGGAAAGTGACTAAATTTGAACCCAAGGAGACTTGTTTGAAGATAGTAATTTTATTTCTGATGATCTAGTCCTTTGAAAGTGACTTAAGAGAATCCGTAAGCTTTAAAATTCTTATTCTTCAAGGAGAACTTTGTGTTTTAAAGAATTTTTGTAAGAAATTAAGTGGTTTTATTGCTTGGAAGAGATTTTCATTTGCAGGAATCAAATTCTTATTAAATATTGGAATTCTTAGTGATTTTTAGAATCAAATTCTCATTCAATACTGGAATTCTTAGTGATTTTTAGAATCAAATTCTTATTCAATTTTGGAATTCTTAGTGATTTTTAGAATCAAATTCTCATTCAATACTGGAATTCTTAGTGATTTTTAGAATCAAATTCTCATTCAATACTGGAATTCTTAGTGATTTTTAGAATCAAATTCTTATTCAATACTGGAATTCTTAGTGATTTTTAGAATCAAATTCTTATTCAATACTGGAATTCTTAGTGATTTTTAGAATCAAATTCTTATTCAATACTGGAATTCTTAGTGATTTTTAGAATCAAATTCTCATTCAATACTGGAATTCTTAGTGATTTTTAGAATCAAATTCTCATTCAATACTGGAATTCTTAGTGATTTTTAGAAACAAATTCTCATTCTTTAATTCTTAGTGATTTTAATCACTTTTAATTTTTGAATCAAATTCTTAAAGATATTCTCAATCAGGTCTGTCAAAATTGGAATCAAATTCCTAGTGATTTTAGAATTCTTACATGATTATTCATCAAATTCTTAATGAGTGAAAGCAATTTGTAGTGCAGTAAATTCTTAGTGGAACTTTCAAATCAAATTCTTAAAGATGTTAAGTGCCTTATTCTTAACTTTCAAAGTGTGAATTCTTAGTCAAAAATCCTGTGGTGTTTGAATTCTCAATTAAAAGTGTGATAATAAGTGTGATATGTGGATTCAAAGTGTGATTTGCAATATCTTAATCAATTCTTATTGTGAGTTTCAAATTCTCAAAGTGTGATTTTATCATTCTGAATTCACAAAGTGTGATATAAAGATTCTGAATTCCCAAAGTGTGATTTTAAAATTCTGAATTCCCAAAGTGTGATTTTAAAATTCTGAATTCTCAAAGTGTGATATTTAAAATTCTGAATTCCCAAAGTGTGATTTTAAAATTCTGAATTCTCAAAGTGTGATTTTAAAATTCTGAATTCGCAAAGTGTGATTTTAAAATTCTGAATTCGCAAAGTGTGATTTTAAAGTTCTGAATTCTCAAAGTGTGATTTTAAAATTCTGAATTCCCAAAGTGTGATTTTAAAATTCTGAATTCTCAAAGTGTGATTCCTCTATGTGATAGCCTAAATATCTACTCTCAAAAGTGTGATATATAAGATGACATCACAACGTCGCCCCACCCCCGTGTGCTCCCAGTTTGATCTGGGAGCTCTAGAGGAAGACTCTGATGCTGATAGTGATGATAATATGAATGATGACAGGTGGGTCTGATACACTGTCCTTCCTCAATGTCCAGGGGTTTGATTTGCTGTCCTTCCTCAAGGTCCAGGGGTTTGATTTGCTGTCCTTCCTCAAGGTCCAGGGGTTTGATTTGCTGTCCTTCAAGGTCCAATGGGTTTAATTTTTTTGATATCGAGATTTTAATTCTGAAAAGTGTTAAATAGAGTTCTGTAAGTTAAATTTCTGTCCATTTCTATTTGCAGTTCTGCTCCAGTGAAATATAATACTCAAGATTTGTCCGTCCGTGGTCGTTTACGTCGTTTGCTGATCAGAAACCCTCATACAAGTAAGTAACAGAAACTATAGCATCTATAGAGAGATTATGCCAAGGGGTTTGGTCAAGGACCAGCTGGTAGAAAGGATCCTCATTATTCCAGTCAACCCAGCTGTAAATGGATACAGATAATCCAGGAAAGATCAATGCCAAGAGGTTTGGTCAAGGACCAGCTGGTAGAAAGGATCCTCATTATTCCATGTAAATGGGTACAGATAATCTAGGAAAGATCAATACCAAGAGGTTTGGTCAAGGACCAGCTGGTAGAAAGGATCCTCATTATTCCAGTCAACCCAGCTGTAAATGGGTACGGATAATCCGAGGAAGATCAATGCCAAAAGGTTTGGTCAAGGACCAGCTGGTAGACAGGATCCTCATTATTCCAGTCGACCCAGCTGTAAATGGGTACAGATAATCTGGGAAATGCCTAAAGGTTTGGCCAAGAAATCCCTTGCATCATTCCACAAAAATTCTAAATTATATTACGTGTATTGGACACACTGATAGCATCAATTTACACCATTCCAATTTTCAATCAGACTTCTGTAGTTCCTGTAATTCCACTAACACTCTAAATTATATTACATGTATTGGACACACTGATAGCATCAATTTGCACTGTTCCAATTTTCAATCAGACATCTGTGGTTCCTGTAATTCCACTAAAACTCTAAATTATATTATGTGTATCTGTGACACTGCTAGTATCAATTTACACCATTCTAATTTTCAATCAGACGTCTGTGGTTCCTGTAATTCCACTAAAACTAAGTGTTTGATGACGTCACTATCACTAAAAGTGCTCTAATGAGCAGCTGTGAAAGTGACATCTTGAAACAGTTTTTAATTGACTGATTGGATTGAACATCTTTTTCCAGGACTAGCTACAACATTTTTTGATTTGATCATTAAAGTGGTGATATGTTTAACCTACGTATCACGGGTCTTACTAGATACCCCAGATCAGTATGCTTGGTAAGTCACTTTATTATCTTCGGTTCGTTTCCTAATTAGTCAAAATAGTCAAAATAAATAAACCAAATACTAACGATCCAAACAGCAAAACAAACCTCGAAATCCAAAACAACATATTGGTGAAACATTGGTAGCAGCTAATGAACTTTTTACATGAGGAAGTATATCAATTATAAGTGAGTCAGTATTTCAAAATGAACAGTGGTATCAGGTGTCTAGAAGAGTAAGCATACTCTGTATGTCACAACCGCTCATATGAGGAAGTATATCAATCATAAGTGAGTAAGTATTTCATAATGAAAAGTGGTATCAGGTGTCTAGAAGAGTAAGCATACCCTGTCTGTCACAACCGCTCATATGAGGAAGTATATCAATCATAATATTTGAAATATCAATTGTAGCTTCTATTTTCCAGTGATGGATCTCCGTGTGACCCAGGGGGAGGGAATGAAACCCAAACTCAATCCACAGCCACCATAAATTGGTAAGTTACTTTAAGTTTAATTTTGCTTTTCTCCGATCTTTTCAGTGTAATGTAAATTTTGTGTATCCTTGCATGAAAACAGGGCCGTAACTCAAAGCAGGTAAATGCCTGATGGGAAATTTGACCCTCAAGAAAGGAAATTTTGACCCCTTCCCCCCCAAAAAGATCTAGATTTTTGCCGCATAGTTACGGCCCTGTTAATGTAGAAGTTGTCCTAAATCTTTATTTTGTAGCTTGTTCTTTTATTTTGTTTTATTTGTGTCCAAGTTTCAAGCAAGGGTTTCTTTCTTGTGGAATTGCAGGAACCACAAACTTCTGATTAAAAATTGGAATGATGTAAATTGATGCTATCAGTGTCCCTGATACACATAAAAAATTTAGAAAACCTCCCTTCAAAACACTTAGTTTTAGTGGAATTACAGGAATCACAGACATCTGACTGAAAATTGGAATGATACAAATTGATGCTATCAGTGTCCCTGATACACATACAAAATTTAGAAAACCTCCCTTCAAAACACTTAGTTTTAGTGGAATTACAGGAATCACAGACATCTGACTGAAAATTGGAATGATACAAATTGATGCTATCAGTGTCCCTGATACACATAAAAAATTTACAAAAAAACCTCTTTACAATCTCTTTAACTTATTTGGGTAGTGATAGAACTTAATTTCAGAATTCAGAATCCAGTATCTCTTTTCAAAATGTAGATCTGGTGTGAGTAACCTCTAAATATAAAGAGACCCTTGCTTGAAGCCCCTAGGGTTATTATATGTGTATGTATATATAGGTTTGTGATGTTATGGGTTCAGAGACCAATGGGTATATGGATTATACAGATACTGCTCTCAGTTATCACCCTTCTCAAGGCCTCAGTTATGGTCTATATCTCAGCTAAGGTGAGCTCAAATTCTTTAAGTCACTTCCAGGGACAGGTGCACCATTTTTGGGTTGATTTGAGTCTTGAATTTATGTAAATAGTCTTCAGAAGTACTAGAAATGTAAAATCACATAATTCCTTTAAAAATATCTCAAACTAGGAATTTTACTCACTATTTCTATAGATGTCTTTTCTATATATAACAGTGTCTCAAGAAAAGACGAGTCATCATTTTAACTTATAAACGTGGATAATTCTGGACACACATGGATTTGAAGGCTCAAATTTCGACAGTGAGCTGTGAACACTTTTACTGATTAACTTAACTAGAAATTCCAGTTTCTGAGACTAAAGTATGACTGGTCAAAAAAATGGTGCATCTGTCCCTTTAAATCTGCTCTCTCAATTTTGGTTTTCTGTCTTTGGTGTGTGTGTTTTTTTTTCAATGTGTAACTGCATCTGTATCTTAATTTGTCCTTCAAACTAAATGTCAAAGAATTTCAGGCAAAATTCCATCTGTTTTCAGGGTCACAGAAGGGAACAGATGCTTTCCACTCATTTTATTTTGGAACTGGTCTGCACGGTTCCTGTTTTAGCCACAGTAAGTTTTTCCTTATCCTTGGTTACGTCAAAATGAATAGTGTTCATGGGTTATTATCTTGGACAACGTGTGAACATCTGATGACCTTGAACAAATTTGAAAGAAAAATTTCTTAAGATCTTAGATTGATTTGAGTAAGCCATTGAAAAGAAACCGAAAGAACTAATCCTGAATTGGATGCCATAGGCTATGCGCTTAAAAATCC